TCAATATCACTACCCAACATACAATCTCATACTCAGAGTGAGGTTTTTCACTCCCTCCCTTACTTCGTTGAGAGGAAAAAGATGAATGATCGACTTCGAAGTGGTTTCCTTCTTACTCCTAATCACGAAGCTTTGAGCATAAAAAGAAGAACGTGTACATAAAAAGAAAAAATGCATAAAAATGATTAAAATTCCTCTTTCAAAAATTTAACATCCCCTAAATCCTTTTTTAATTAAAACACTTAACCTTAGTTACTAATTTTATTCCTATTAATTAATTAAATAAAATATTTAATTAAAACACCTTATATAATATTCCAAAACATGTCAAATAATTAAAATAAATATTAATACAACTCTATTGGTTAAAATAAAAAAAAAATATTTATTAAATACTTTTATTACATTTTGTAAAAAAAATAAAGTGTTACAAGAATGATAATATTAGTGATGAGACTTAGACTTTATCGTATTTTGTGAGTGAAACTTTAGTAAAATATAACATCAAGGTTCTTAATTTATAATTTGCTACTTGTTATTCTTGATCATTTCACCGTGTTTTAAGATATTTGTTAGTCATTGAGTTTATGTAATGGTTTTGAATGACTATTTTGATACCATATTTTACTTTCATATAGTTTATATCTTTGAAAATTGCTTTGTTTTGAATACGTTTATGAACTACTTAGTATAAAGTATTTATTCAAAAAATTATTTATTATTTTATTGTAATTAGCAATATACTATATAAACAAAATATTGATGCTGTGAGGAAGTTTCTCATATGTAACCGTGACATTCTTATGCATACGTTTTCTATATATAATAACGTTAAATATATAGAAGATAAATTTTTTTGCTGCATGTAATAATTCTTTCATGGAGAGCTTGGACAAATTATGCCTCGTGTTTTGTTGTATGGGACGGAGAAAATATGTATCATATGGAAGTGAGGACTGAGGAGGAAGGTAACATGTTGTTAGGACACTCCATGTTATAAGTTGTAAATTGATAACCATTGTGGGTCCTCAAGGACCCACCACTTTTTAAGGAACCTTCCCTCTTTACTCAACATATTTTACACATTTCTTTCCGTCAACTACAGGAAATGTTTACACATTATACCCTAGGCACAAATATTCAATGCATGTAGATGCGAATTTTCTATAGCTTTTGCTTGTCTTCCCATGATCTTACACATATATGCTTTAGTTGTGGCATTTCACATCACATGAGAAACATAAAAGGTGTTTTCCTTTTTCTTTCTTAACAATACACTTATTCTAAAATTTTTAGTAGATTTATTTTATTTAATAATTCATATTTTAAATTAAAGTTTAATAATTTAATCGTTGAATTAAAATTCTTAATATATATATCAGGTTTATAAATTAAAAAAAAAAATTAAAATTATACTTTGTTTTATTAACTCAAATTGATAGATAATTATAAAAATATTTTATATATTAATTTTTATCTATATAAAAAAGTATTATATGATTTTAAATTTTTTTAAAAATTATAGAATTGATTTATATAATAAAATTTTTTAATTTAACGGTTAGATCGTTAAAATCTAATGTAAAATATAATTTATAAAGTAGAATAAACTCTAAACCTCAAATCAAAATTTATTCTTTGAATAAATAGATTCCTTATTTACATATATATATATATATATAGTTAACTTTTAAAGAATTAAATAATTGAGTAAATTAATTAAAAGGGTAAAAAGCTCTAATGTAGACACTAAATCAAGGTATCTTATAAATGCTAAACTCCTAGTAAATAGTAAGCCATTATATAGTAATATTAAACTTTAGAATAGGACCTTTTTATTATAATATTGCAAAAAAAAAAATACCAAAATATTATACTTTGAAATATATTTATCAAAGTGTTATGTTTATTATACATGTCAAGAAATTGGTTGTCATCAACTAATTTCTCACCTTAATTTTCATTTTTTTTATTTTTTTATCTAGAAATTGGTTTAATTAGTAACCAATTTCTCAGGAGCAATTTTTTTTTACAATTTCAATTTTTTGTAATATTAATATTTTTATATAATATGTTTTTTATTTAATTTATTAGCTTCAAAATTAATTAATATATAAATAAATTCATAATTTTTATTTTATAACTAGAAAGTTTTGTAAGAAGAAATTTTAAATAATTTAAAAATGCATCATTTAATTATGTAAAACAAATTAAAGAGTGCACATACAATATAGTAAGAAGAATTTTAAAAACACATTAAAAAAAACACATAGATAAGTAACTTTCACACATACTTCAAGTCCTCATCACTCGTAAGTCAAAATAAAATTAAAAACAGATAAATAACTTTCACACATATTTCTAAAATCAAATTTATAGGCAATAATTAATGGCATTGGTATCCATTGATGCCGCATGTGCTTGAGTTTAACAAAAATCATACACATTTCCTTTTGCAAGTGCAATAGGTGCATAACTTAAAAGAATGATAACTAACTAGATAATTCATGTTCAGACAAAATATGGTGTGATTTGTTGCAAATTCCAAAAACTGCATTAGTCTTATTCACATGTCATTGTTGCTTGTAAACATACTTTTCATGATTACATACCATCCATACATCATGTTATCTTCAATTTATATAAATGATTGTTTTGAGAATTTCACAATTAAAAATATTGGTCATAATATTATGAAGCACAAATTTGTCTTACTCTAGACAAAAAGAAATAAAAAAGATTGTCCAAAATTTTTACATATACACATGATAATAGTTATGAAGTAACATGATCAACTATAAAGATCTCTCATGCATAAGAATCCAAGTCATACAAAAAAAAATTGTTCTTCTCGTAAAAACTTTCACCCAACTACAATAATTCCTATAAAATGTTCCATACCTTTTATTTTGTTTTTAATGTTATTTTGATTTAAAGTCAGTTTTAATATTTTCGTATATTGTTTGATATCTTAATTTTATTGACTATAATATATTAAAATATTTAGGTTAATATTTTATTTTAGTCTAATAAATTATCAAACACATATATTATAAAATTTATTAATTATCATTAAAAAAATATTGGATTTATAATAGAAATAAATATACAATAAAATAAAAATATATTTATATTTATATATCAACTAATTTTTAAGGTAGTAAATTAAATAGAGAATATATATTATATAAAAATAATAATATTTCAAAAAAATAAAATTGTAAAAGAAACTCTAGTTGAAAAATAGATTTCTAATTAATTAATTTCTCAATGTAAAAATAAAAAACATAAGAAAAATTTAGGTGAGAAATTGATTGGTGAAACATCAATTATTCTATATGAATAATAAACATAACACTTTACTAAATATATTTTAAAGTATAATATTTTAATATATTTATTATTATTTTAGTATTTATATTTATATTTATATATAAAAATAATTTTTATATAATTTTTAAACTATTTTACTTTTAAATTTTTAAATAATAAAAATATTAAGAAATTAACTACTTTTATACATTCAAGATTTAAACTTAAAATCTTAAGATTTAAGAATTAGAAATTATATTAATTGATTTAATAAATATTTATTTAATAACTTTTAAATATCTTTAAAAATATATAAAGATACAAAATAACTCCACTCTTCTTATTAAAATAATAAAAAAAATTCTCATAATGATACTGTTAAAATTTTTAGGTTAAATACCTCTTTTCGTCCCTCATAATATTTTTTTGTTTCAATTTAGTCTCACTTTAATTTTTTGTTTTAATTTGGTCCTCAATAATTAAAATCATTGCAATTTGGGACTTCCGTCCAAATGATTTAAACGGGGTTAACTGTTGACCACGTGGATGCCACGTAAATGCGTACATGGAGCCAAATGACATGAAAACACCTGGAATCAGAACGGCCCGTTCTGGATGCACTATTGGTGTGTTAATTTTGCAACTGGAACGTGCGTTCCAAATGCAAATTTCACACACCATCAGTGCATCAGAACGGGCCGTTCTGGATTCAGAACGACCCTTCCAAAAAACCAACTCCATGCATCCGTTGATCAAAATGCCGCAACGTGATTCAAAAATTGAAAATAAAAATTCATATATCATAAATTCAAAGATAGAAACATAGTTCAGAAACTAAAAACAAAAATTCAGAACATAACATATACTAAAAAAGTTCAAAAAAATTACTGAGAAAGGAAATCATCTGGGTAACGCTGAAGGGAAACCCTAAACCATAAAAATTCAGGTTGTACCTCCTCAAGAACATGTTATTATTGTTGGGGTACATCGTCAATGACTTCAAGGGAAAACACCGTTTTGTTTCATCCTTGACTGTATAGTGTCAATTTGGTAGTAAGTGTTTCACTCCAGTTTGACTAACAATAAAATAAAACCTGCTACCATTGTTTTTACCGATACACTGCATTGTCCTTAATGATACACTGTATAGCCCAACTATTTAGCAATTGAAGTTATCAATTTTCATTTACAATATTATCAAATTCAGTGTTTGAAATCTTTTGTACCTTAGGTCTTTTTTCTTTCACGATTCACAACCGTAAACTATAATCAGTGACCATCCGTGTTTGGTATTCTGGAACCAGAACGACTCGTTCTGGTTGCACTCTTAGTATGTTAATTTTGCATCTGGAATGAGTCGTTCCGGATGCAAAATTAACACACCATGAGTGCATCTAGAACGGGCCGTTCTGGTTTTAGAACGGGCCGTTCTGGTTTCCATTTTTTTCAGAAATTTTGGCGTCTACATACATATCTACGTGACATCCACGTGGATGTCATGTGGCCAACAATTAACTTCGTTTAAATCATTTGGACAGAAGTCCCAAATTATAATAATTTAAGTTATTGGGAACTAAATTAAAATTAAAAATTAAAATGGGATTAAATTAAAAAAAAATTATAAAAGACGAAAAGAGGTATTTAACCAAATTTTTATAGTGAATTGATGGAACACAATATCACAAAAGATAACGCTGTTATATATAGATGGTGAAAAACGAAAGGAATAGCATTCACCAAAAAACAACAAAAAGAATAGCTTAGTGAGTGAAGAGGGAAAAGGAAGCAGCAGATTCTCATTTGATCTCGCCGGGGTTCCTCAGATCTGAGCTTACCGTCGCCGGAGTCCAACTCAGTCGCGGGTCGGATTCTTAGGTATCACTGCACCGTCATTCGTTTTAGCCTCCATATAAGAGCTTTTGGTTCGCTTCAAATTCGAGGTAAAGATTCGATTTTTTTGCTGCAACCATCGTTTCATTTCGTCGTTTTGGAAGTGGATTTCAGATTTGAGACGTTAATTGTGAACTATCGTTCATTTGATTAGGGGGTGGTGATGTTGTGAATGTTGTTGTGTTTTGTGGCTTATTTTCTGTGATTAGTTGTTAACGTTGTTGCTTGTTGGTTCGTTTCAGGTTTGATTTGAAGTGAAAGGTGGAATAGCTTAACTGTAGTGTCAAACTACCAACACAGACAAGCATGGGAAGCCAAGACAACACCGGTTTTTCTTCTTTTCATTCATCTGTTTTATTGCCTAGAGAATTATTCATTGAAACCCCCTGAAATGAATCCCAACTAGAATTGAATGTCTTATATCTTTGATGAGTAATGCTTCATACCCTGAAAGTTTTGTTAGAATTAAACTAGAGTTTGACTGATTAAAGGGTGGTTGTTAGATAAGTTATGTTGGTGACTCATTCTGGCATATAAGAAAGAGTTTAATTTTGATGCACTCCTGGGGTAAAGATTTTTATGTTGTTTAACAGTCGGAAATCATTCTAGACTTTAAAATCATTATTATAAAATGGAACAAACTTATCATACATGGCTATCCGTGATTAGAAGATGGTGTAAGTGCATTCTAGTTAAATTCAACAAGAGTGTGTTTGGATTGGTGAACTGATGAGTTAAACCCATCATATTTTTGGAACTTGGAAGCAACAAGTAGTTGCTTTTCACCATGATATTGCACTCATCATGGTTTTCTACCACCAAATCAAGCACACTATAAGTCAAAAAAATTGTTGTTCTTTGATTTTAAATGTGTTTCTGATTTATTTTTTTTGTGTGTGTATTTTCAGCAGCATCAAACTCATTTCTAGCTTACAAATCTGCTAAGGTGTTTGTTGCCGGTCACCGGGGTCTTGTTGGGTCGGCCATTGTTCGCAAGCTGACCCAACTTGGGTTCACTAATCTAGTCTTACGCACTCATGCAGAGCTTGATCTCACTAGACAATCTGACGTTGAGGCTTTCTTTGCCTCTGAAAAACCTGAATTTGTCATTGTAGCTGCTGCCAAAGTTGGTGGCATCCATGCCAACAACACCTACCCTGCTGATTTTATTTCCATCAACCTCCAAATCCAGACCAACGTCATCGATTCTGCTTATTGCCATGGGTCTAAGAAACTGTTATTTTTGGGTTCCTCTTGCATTTACCCCAAATTTGCACCCCAGCCGATTCCTGAAGATGCCTTGCTTACTGGACCTTTAGAGCCCACAAATGAATGGTATGCCATTGCAAAGATTGCTGGGATCAAAATGTGCCAGGCTTACAGAATTCAGCACAAATGGGATGCAATTTCAGGAATGCACACCAACTTATATGGACCACACGATAATTTTCATCCCGAGAATTCGCATGTTTTACCTGCTCTCATGAGAAGGTTTCACGAGGCAAAGGTCAACAATGCCAAGGAGGTGGTGGTTTGGGGCACAGGGAGTCCATTGAGGGAGTTCTTGCACGTTGATGACTTGGCGGACGCGGTTGTCTTCATGATGGAAAAGTATAGTGGACTGGAGCATTTGAATGTAGGAAGCGGAAAAGAGGTTACTATTAAGGAATTGGCTGAGTTGATGAAGGAAGTGGTGGGATTTGAGGGAGATCTTGTTTGGGATGCTACTAAGCCTGATGGGACTCCAAGGAAGCTGATGGATAGCTCCAAACTTGCAAGCCTGGGTTGGACACCAAAAGTCTCACTCAAGGATGGCCTTGTTGATACCTACAAATGGTACTTGGAGAACGTGAATCTATGATTCAGCAGGTTAAGAAGAATGTGCCATGTCAAATTTTATAGGTACCTGTCATTTTTGTTAAAAAATAATTATCCTTGACCAATTTTTCTGTACCAATTATGTGGAACCAAAATTTTAATGTTTTCTTTTTTTGTTTTCTAGAGAACATGAGAATTGAGAATCCAAGTCTCACTCATTGTTAAAAAGTATGAACAGAGAGTTGTAATTTCATGATCGTAGATATCTCTTGCACACATTCAAGATATTCAATGTTGGTTTTCAATTAACTATTATAATTATTGCATGATGGTTATTCGGCACAAATGGTGTTGCTCCTTCAAGGCCTCTAAAGTGTTTGTTTAAAAGCTTTCATGTCAATAAGATTCCTGTGGGTAAATCTACTGTATATTATCGGTGAATGCTTTCTCGTGGATGAGCATGTCAAATCATGCAATCTAATTTGGTACCTAGTCTCAGCAGGCAACCAAATTTTTGAATCTTATATTCTCCTTTCGTTCCCAGAAAATTCTACTGTTCAACTGTCTATAGTTATGCCGTCAAACATGTTTCTTAAAGGTAAAAACATGGTCACAACCAGGTAAATGCTTAGTGGCAATAACTTTTTTCCCAACATTATAGACTCATTCCTGATAGGTGTGATGGATTGATTAAGCATCACAAGTTCACACTGATCACCGTTGCTTTCAAGAATACACATTAGAAAGTTACCTGACTTGTGCAATTAGTTAGACTTTACACGTAGTTAGACTCAACACTAGTGTAAATAAGAATATCCTATAATCTTACATCACCTTTTATTATACCAATCAATACAATAGAATTTTCTGATTCTTGCCTTATTGTTTGAGCTCTATATTTTTGGCCTCATCAATTAAAGGTGACTAGCATTTTTTAGAAACTTAGGTCTCTTGTATTTCTTCTCGAAATTATGATAGAATTTATTATACTTCCTATAGCATAACGGTTCTTTTTGTCCTGTGAAATATTCAAAATATGTACCTTCCATCAACATTGCTTCTGTGGGTGGTGGTTGTGACTTTAACCACTATTGCGAATCATTAAATACGGTCACCACTAGAGTTTGCTGATGGCCTCCACCCCTACTGTTGATCACCAAAATACGGCTACCCTTCACCCCTGCCGGCAGTTCACTGTGGGTGGCAACTCTAGCCACTACTATTGTTGTGGCCATAGCAATATGTTTCAGTCTTATAATAGTTTTTCTAAAATATTCTATTTTTAAAAAACTCGTGTATAATTTAATTTGTATAAGTTCTTGTATTAATTTCTTTAAATTTTTTTCTTAATTTGTGAAATCCGCAGCATAATATGTTTTCTAGTCAAGGGGTTTCGAATCTTAATTTTGAATATGGAATCAATTGTGTTGGGAAGAGATCACTAACCTTATGTGTATTTCCGGTCTCCAAACATTTTTTTTTGTTTGTTTACATTGAGTAAAAAGCAGAAAAAAGAAACAACAAAAATTGATATTAAAGAAACAAACTAAGGCCTAGGCACCAGCGTGCCTCTAGCATCTGCAGCTAACATATGCATTGCCGCAAGGGCGTCATTTAGCAGTTGCACCTCCACTAGAGACGTTGATCCCCTCTTTGCAAGAAAGTCGACACAAGAATTCCCCTCGCGAATAACATGTACGAGTGAACAATTTCAAGCTCTTGCCATGAGTCGCTTTAAGTATTACACGTAAGAAGCATATCTGTGATGATAACCAGTTTGCCCTTTCACTAACTGAATCAAATATGAACGGTTTGATTGGCACTGCACATGTGAATATCCATGACTCCAACACAGTTTGGCAGTAAGCTTGAACATGTCTCCATCATGAGCAACGTTGTCCTCCATCTTGAACTGCACGAGCTAATGACAGCTTTGATGAACCTGGCTCTTGATACAATTGTTGGGAAAACTCGGACTTTCCCGCTTCGTGAAGTTAAGATAGGCACTTAGAAATTAAAGGTAGTAATGGGAGCACACGAGTTAAATTCTCCAATATGGAGATTCTTCCACTATACAAAAGAATAGTAGGATTACAAGAATGTAATTACAAAATTGACTCACTCTATGGTGGCACACTCAAACTTGAGACTATCTCTCTTCTCTCACAAAGAGGCTTTCTCACTTTCTCACTCTAAGAAGTGGATTCACTCTTGGCTTGGATGGATAGGAATGAAGCCTCCTACCCCTATTTATACTACTCCACCTTCAAAATGAATGGTGGGGATCAAGGGTTGAGATTGGTTCTCTAGAATGCTCCACACATTCCAGGAATCTCTACTCCCTTCTATATCCTTCAATACTCTTCCATAAGGTTCCGGAAGGCTCCACACATCTCTAGAATGTTCCAGAGGGTTCCACACTATTCCACAAGCTTCTAGAGAATTCTACAATTCTCTAGGATTCTCTAGAATGTTCTAGAAAATTCTATACTTCTCTAGAAAGCTCTAGAATTTTCTAGAACCTCTCCAATTAAGGAGGGATCCTAACACTAATCCCATGACAAGCGCCATGATCTCTGCATGTATGTTGTTACTCACCCCCAATCAAACAGTGGAAGATAGTCTCCTTCTAGTTATCACAGAAAGGACAAGTGTTGGATTGTAAAATCCCCCAGTGATCGAGTAAATCTCAAGTCAGTAAGGAGTTCCAACATATTTGCCAAAAAAAGAATTGGATATTAATAGGGAGTGCAGATCTCCATTTCCACTTTCAGCTACCCATCTCCAGTGTGTCATTTTGAGCTTCTAACAACAATACATATGCATTGCTAACGGAATACTCCCCCGAGATGTCATGCGACCAAGTCCAAATATCATGGACATTCTCCATTAAGAATGGTTTGATCCCCAAGATCTCTTGTCGTATTTCCTCAGATAAAATGGCAGGGAAACTATCCAACTCCCACGTCCCTTGTCTCCAAACATATGCTACTGTGATGTTATTATCACTGATATGAATCAGTGGAATTCTTGACCCTAGTAGCTCCTTGGATAACCATAAATCAAACCATAACCTACTCGATCCATCCCTTAGCTTGAAGTCAAAACCATCCTCGATCCATTGACGCGCTTTTCTCAATGAGTTCCAAATGGGTGAACCAGGCCTATTTCGTGCCATGAACAGATTATTGTGCTACATATATTTATTAACCAGCACACGAACCTAGAACTTCTGACTGCCCCGCAAAATCTCCTAAACTAATTTATCAACATAGCAACATTCTGGTAGCCATGAGGTCTAGTAATATGGTTCCACCCTACGAATTGAAGACCTCGATCACTGCTTCCCTTCCAGATGAAGCTTCGTCCAACTTTATCTAAATAGTCACACATGTGTTGTGGTAACCAGTTGACTTGCATCTGATAAGATGGTACGGATGACAGTACAACATTCACAAGATTCACCCTACCTGGCTTGTTGAGTAATCTTCCCTTCCATGCAATTAGCTAAGCATATATATACCTTATCCACAATTCATACATAGTCTTCCCTCCTTTTCATCATTGGAAAACACAAATATCTCTCGAACTTGCTTGTAAAATGTACATGCATGATGTTAGACAGTTTGTTTATTCGACTTCTTGGTACAAGTTTTGGCTGCTAATAAAGCTCGTGACTTATATCAAAGCTAACCTTTAACCCCAACACTGCACAAAACTTCTGAGGTAGGTTAGAAATAAGTCCTGCTTGTGAGGGCTCAAAGGATTAGCCATTGCTTCTTATTAATATCGAAGTTATAAAAAAAATGCAGTTTTTCCAAAATAAAAAAGTATTTTATTATTACATTGAATTGGTTCCGCTTTATACTTTAGGTTATTAAAAGTTCTTCAGAAATGCGTGTTAGTCAAAAGAGAAATGTTAACACACCAACACATCCTTTATAACACTACTATTAGATGAAATATATAAAAATTACAACATTTTCTTCCATTTTAATATGTCACGTTCGTCATTTATAATTTTGAATAAATTTTAACTAATAATAATAAAAATTAATAGATAATGTGTTCTTAACAATCAATTGAATCAAAGTGGTCTAACACCATGTGACACCCTCTACCCCAACGTTAATACACAATAAATATAAACAATAATTTCTTTTTCTTTTTGAGTAAATAAAATCTTTCATGTATAAAACAATTGTTTCAAATCTCATAAGGTAGAAGATTCACATTCGTAACTCATAAATCATAGAAAGTCGTCTTGTAAGTATAAAAATTCAAGAAATCATATAAAGAAAAATATAGATTAATTCCAGCAAAGGTGGCAGTGCCTCCTAGTTAGGAACTAATTTATAATTTTCAAATCATGTAATAAAAGAAATATGACAAAGATGTACATTTTGGTCTTTTCTCAAGAACGTTCAAAATTACACAAGAAGAAAAGATTACAGCTTTTTAAAACAATAACATCCAAAATAAGCCTAGCTATGCCCGATGTCACATCCTATCAGAGCATGCCCAACTGAAGCCTTAAGCCTCATACCAACATCCTCATGATGTTGATCACCTGCAACATAATTTAAACATATACAAAAACAAAAAGGGAGTGAGAAACATCTAACTCAGTTTCAGGTGCAGAAATAAAGGTTAGATAGCACCCACACACACACACAACAAATATAAGTCACAGATAAACAATACACATACATCATCAATATCACATATATACTCATTTATCATGCAATGATGTCATGAACTCGACTCATAAATGCATGCATGTGGCGCCATAAGGAAGTTTCACATATCATCACTGGTGACCCAAAGGTACACCTGCCCGTTCCGGATCCTTCGAACATAGGCAAATTTAGCAACTGGAACGGCCCGTTCCAAAATCGGAACGACCCGTTTCAAAAAGCAGAACGACCCGTTTCAAAAAGCAGAACGGCCCGTTCTAAAGTTCACGTTAACACTGATTGACCATAGTTGGAACGGCCCGTTTCCAACTAAGGTCTTTAGGCAATTTCATAACCTTGGAACGGCCCGTTTCCCTTTGGGAACGGCCCGTTCTGGAAATACAAAAATGAGTAATTTTCTTCTTTGGAACGGCCCGTTCAACTTTTGGAACGGCTCGTTCTGGTCCCTCAAAAACAACTTATTTTCATTATCTAGAACGGTCCGTTCCACTTTTGGAACAGCCCGTTCTAGCCTAAAAAAAATATAATTTATAAAAATTTTCATAAATAATTTTAAATTAATACAAACCTCTATAAAAATTCTTTTAATTAATAAATAATAATCAACAAGAAAATTCAGGGTGCTACACACCACCTCTCGCTA